ACACGGATGGCTGGCAAACAACTATAAGAATGATGGGTCTAGCAAGGGATGATATCAGGTGCGCTCGGGATCCCCGTCGTCATAATTCTGCGCAAGTTGCCTACTGGCCTGGCGGTGCTGGTGCGGTACAAGCTGTAATTCTTAGGCGGTGAATGGGCGGCGGTGGCCAATCAAGACTTTGCTATTCTAAGCCGAGGATTAGCGCGACAACCCTGAGAGCACGTCCACGGCGGCCATAGCCATAAGACAAGCTCAGGAACGGCGAAAGAGCACTCGACGCGTGCGTCGCACCTGCATATCTTTGGATGCAGAGCCAACCAACCCTCAGGTACATGCATTCAAATGCAAGTCGGATGCCCTTATCTCCGATACATGGGCTCGGCGGCAAGAAAAAGGAAAAATCGGCTCTATCAGTCTTGGACTCCACTTGAGCCTCGCCATAGACCAGCTGTCGGCGGATCAGATCCGTCTCGCCTACCACTAGCGATTTGTAATGGTTGCTCTCCGCACGCCACTCACGCAGCCTTGCACCGATCGAAGGGGGGCGAAACAACTTCTCCAGAATGGCGTTATCGTTGTTGTAACTATACAACTACAACATACTAGATCTGAAGACCTATCATGGAATGCAATGAGCCCCATCATGATACACTAGTAGAAATGCAAGCCTTAGTAGCCTCTTCGCTTCATGCACTGCGGACACTAGACAGACAAGCGAACACGTGTGACGACTACAGCCTCGTTTAGATCAGATAACCTATCATACACCGACTGAAAAGCTCCTCCCCAACCCATGTAACCAAAACCTGGGTATGATCATCGAGCCAACCTTGAAAATCCAACACAATGCACAGAGCCAACCCTTTCCGTCACGACCATTTCTACGCCAGACATGTCCATAACATGTAACACTTGGTTTAATACATGATAAGCGCGCGACGAGGTTTTTACCGAGCCTAGACAGGGCAAACGATCTACGAATAAGGACTCTTCGACCGCCGTCCTCCTGTCCACAAGCTGCGGACTTAGACTTGTTCGGCGCCCCAGCCAGCGTCAGCATCACTGCAATATCGTCAGTAACATGCAAGACACGTTGTCAAAGTGTGTTGGAGTCGTACCGCATGTTCGCTGGGGGCTCAATGGAAGGAATGAACTCCAGAGCAGCGTAGCCCACACCGATTATGCCGACGATAGTGCCTGGCACAATGCGGAACCAGCGCTCACCGACAATGACGGAGCCGATGAAGATGTAGAAGATGCCGCGGCCGAGGAAAGAGAACATGAAGGAGGCATAGCGAGCCACTTGCTGGGGAATCTGGAACTCGAGGAGGGCAGTTCCTGTTGCTTGTCAGCGACATGTGGTTGCGTAAGGACGCTGGACCTTACCAAGACCGAATATGATCAGGTATACACCAAGGATGATGTGAGAGCTGCGCAGACTGTCAGCGCTTTCCTAGGCCATATGATGTGGCTGTGCTTCGATCTGCAATCTTCGGGTGGCATGACTGGTGGTGCAATCCCAGTCCGTACGATGCTTGTGCGTCGTCACAGATGCGCACATTCGCGTGTATGGTATTGAAGCCCAGCGCAGGCCCAGACAGACATGGACCAGGCTAGCGAGTGTCCTTCGACTGACAGCTTGCACTCTTCTCCGCATCCACACGCGCCTGCCATTATGTGCTCGCCAAATATAGTACGCCATCCCGAGGTTGTACGACGGGGAGAGGCGATGCGACGGGACTGGATTGCCGATGGAGGCGCCGGGTACACTCACAAGTCGTTGAAGGGGAACAACTTCGCGATACCACCGAGGACCACGAATACGGCAACGGCGAAATTCACCATGCGACTACAGGCCCAGTTAGCTTTGATCCTCGACACTCCCAAGTCCCAATGGCTCTGCGGAAAGCTGCTGCCTAGCTTCGGGACAGCTTCGCACAGCTCGAGCTCTACTCACAAGATGTCTGAGAAATCCATGGCGGACGATTGACCGGCGAGGTGTGGGAACCGCACTTTGACGACTGGGCGCAACGGATTGGGGCGGAGGCGGATGGGACGAGATGGAAGATGCAGCTGGTTGTGATAGAGCTCACGAGTACGGTTGGTGCTGCGCAATGTCGGCTTGCGACGAGACGTTGCAAGGGAACCACAGCCAAGCTCCCGCGCTAAACGTCATACCCGCTCTCATTGGCCGACGCGCGACCAAGGGGTTCTTCCAGGTTCAACACTGCTTGTCTTTGTCTCTCCAACATCGTACTGTTGGGTAGTCTCGTTGCCTACGCATCCGTATACTTCTTGCAAATCTCCTAGTGTCTATGATAGAGACACATTCAACTCCAGAACAGAGTACCCCGAGCGTTGGCACTGCATGCATAGAAAAGCTGGGGTCTGCTAGTTTGGCCCAAAACCCCCTCTTTATGACCGACAGTCTTTGCCTGCTTGCGCGTCGGACAGGACATGTTCGTGTTTCTAGGTTTTCCTACGGGTATCCGACTGCGCTCGCCCATTCTGGTGCAGCTTCACTATACAGTCACCCACTCACTTCATAAACATCACAAATGGGTTATTCCTTCACATACGACCATAGGACATTGAGAATTAGGCTTCCCGTCCGCTCAGCCATATACAAGCAGTGTACCGGCGAATTAGTAGTTAGGTGGGTGACCACTAGCGAATCCTCGCTGTTGTATGTTTTTGCTGGTCAGTCTGTCACGAACCAGGTTCGAGCAGAAGCATCTCTAGCTTTTTTTTTGCCCTTTTTTTGTACCTTAGGGCAGGCAGTAGCGGATGGCTGTCAAGAAATGCGTGACAAGTAAGGCTGTACAAGATGCGAGTATCTGCGACGTCCACCTAGCCCCAAACAGTGTCTCCAGCTTTTGCCATCTTCTGCGTCTTCGATATCTCCAGTTAACGCATATGATGCTCCCAGTGTTTCTCTTTCTAACCCACCACTGATTTCCCGAGTTTTTTCGTGCAACAACAATCGACTATATTGCCAATCCATCAACGGCCAAGTAGAAACACACCGCCTCACGATCACATTGTCTGCGAAGTTTAGTCGTTATCGCATTAGTAGAGCTTGTTGCTCTACATCCTTCACGAATACCAGGACTCGCCAGTATCCTGAACTTACTATATTTATTGGTTTGCTATAAAAAGATGGAGATGTCGACATATCGCCTGCATTAGCATATCCGTGAACCTGGCTTAGGACAGCAGTGTTCCATGAAAGTTTCGATCCCTTTTCGCCATGGTATCGAGTTGTTCAATGGCAATCGCGCCCTGCTGCGCCGTGCTGTACCATTGTTGGAAGCAGGCTAAGCACAAGCCTACCTAACGACGGGCCCTCGCACTCGGCTCCACGTGTACGGGACGTGAGGCATCGGGTACGCCTGCATTGCGTCAAAGTACTAACTCGGCCAGACCCTTGATACAGTTTGAGGCTCCTCGGAGGACAGTTGGGCTCGTCCGCGCCCAGCAGAACTAACTCTCAGTCTACAGTCTAGTTCATACGCCACAAGATTACGTGCAATGTTAGCATACAACGAGCGGCCTCTTCGACTGGGAACCCATTCTTCCAAAAGATCGTATAGATCCGGTAGGCTAAAGTGGATCGTGTGGCCGCATACTTCACGCGATTCATGCGTACCTGACAGGTCGTCCCTAGTTTGGACGAATTCATGGATTAGTGGTAGTGTACTGGGGCGGAAGACTCCATGAACATGCTACGAGCGGCTGTCTGACGGCTACTAAAGCAGCCGTAGTGCCGTTCCTGCATGGACAACGATGCGGTCTGATCTGACGATGGTATACATTTGATGGGGGTGAGAGCAATCGAGTCGGTGACTCCGAAGTCGAATTGCTCCACACACTCGTGGACATAATCAACGTAATAACGAGAGCTCCTTCAACATGCGTTTCCTCCGCTTTGGATTCGATGTCGTAATCTTCTTCTTATAGTCGCCCTCCAATGATCAAAGTATCTGGCAAGCCTCGGCATGAGCAACCGCATTGGGGCTGTTGATCGCGTATAGAGTTTCTTTGCCACCTCTCGTCTCCCTTCGTACAAGATCCCTACTAGAGCCGTTTCGCGATTGGACAGATGTCGAACGGGTACCGATATAGAGTAGCTGTGGTGGAAGCGCGAGGCGTTGACGTGAGCGGACTCCCCAACCATGTAGCGCGCTAACAAAGCGGCAGGAACCACCGTTCGGGGCTTACTCCGCGCGGAGACGGCCACCACGAAAACGCGCCACCAGAATCAGCATAACCCGGGTCACACCACATGCGGAGAGCACGTTTCGGAAGGACTGAGACGGTTACTACGGATATCAAATGGAGGGCGATGACACCTTGAAGCGGTTAGAAGCACGCGAGACTTCTACCTCACCATCTCGATCTGGCTGTTCTAGGGTGGAAATAGAAACGAATTGCGCATGATCGCATAAACTGCGCGACATCGTTAGTTCACCTCCCGACATCCCCTTGGGCCTTAGCACTGCCTCGGCTGGTCTGTGACGTTTGGACTGGACCGTCGAAGTTTAACAAGCCAGCTCCATGTAGGGTACCGGCCTAGCCCATGTGTCCAAATTCCTTGGGCGCAGGTGTTAGCGACTTCAGCACGACATTCTTCGATGCGTTCAGTATGTTATACAGCACACATGCAGCTACAAGCCTACTCCTTCCAAGAAACGTTTGGAATGAGTTGCGCAGGTGACAGTCCAGCTGAACACGGAACCGTTGGACGACGTTGAGGGGTGCGGCTCTGGTTGGGAGACTCAAGGGTACCGCACATTTAAACTTTGTTAGCACGCAACGCTGCAGGAAGCCACGAGGCGGATCGGATCAGCCATACCAAGGCCTTGTAGCATATTTACAAATCGCGGCCTTGCAAGCGGGAAGGCCCCTTTGCTGGAACGTTGATTCCTTCTTTGTTCCCACCTCTTGCCAGACGACTTCGACTTGGATACTGTGTGTCGCCGGACGTGACGAGACATGAGATGGCCGCTGTACCTACTACTGGTCCTCGCGGCATGGGCCTCGATTGGGGTGGCACAGGACGCCGCTGCGCTCAAGGCGATCGGCTCGCTTCCAAGCTGCGCGGTATGTAACAGCCAACATGGGCCAAATGATATGTTGCTAATGGTTGTAGCAATTGTGCCTGGCGACAGCTGTAGTTGATTCACCCTGCCAACTTTCGGATAAGCAATGCGTATGTGCCAACGCTGAGCTCCAGAGTGCAGCGGAAAAATGCGTAATTTCGTCGTGTACAATAAAAGAGAGTCTGAGTAAGTTCAATATGCCACCATACACTGAACATTTGCTTACAACACTCTCCCAGCCACAAAGAACGTAACTTCAGCTCTCTGCGACGTGCCGATTCGCTCGGAAATTACCCATTTGCGCGTGGCAAACATCGTATTGGCCGTAGTGACAGGCTCCTGCATCATCTTACGCTTTGGTTACCACATGTTTTTCCACGTCAATGGGCTTAATTGGGACGACTTCCTCGTGATAGCTACGGTGGTTCTAGCCGTACCATCTGTCGTTATCGTCGACAGGTGTATGCTTCCGAATGGCATTGGTATCGACATTTGGAACGTCCCATTTGACCACATCGACAACTTTATACGATGGCTCTACGTCGTCACTCTACTATACCTCCTCCAGGCTGCCTTGGTCAAGATTACGCTCCTTTCCTTCTTCCTACGGATATTCCTCAGACGGCGAACAGTACAGCTTTTGTGGGGGACTATCATCTTTATTGGATTATGGACCTTCTCCATTTTCATTCCCGCCGCGATGCCATGTCTACCGGTACGTCAAGCTCACTTACGAGGTGCACGGTACACCAGCTAACTTCGTCCTTGGCAATGTAGGTTAGTGATTTCTGGACGGGATGGGACATGGAAAGACCAACAAAATGCCTCAACATGGACGCGGTAGTATGGATGCATGCCATTATAGGCATTGTGTTGGACCTCTGGATGATAGCTATTCCTCTATACGAGGTCTATCATCTCCAGATGACATGGGTGAAAAAGTTCGGCGTAGCATTGATGTTCTCTCTTGGTACCTTGTCAGTACCCTTGCAGCCCACATTACATCATCTAGCCCCAAGCTTACGTTTCCGCAGTGTCACAGTAGTGTCCATCCTCCGCCTGAAATCGCTCTTTTTCTTCGACGGGGACAACAACTATACATGGAAGCAAGCGAAAGTCGTCTTGTGGTCAATGTACGAGCTCCATGTCGGAGTAATCTGCGCCTGCATCCCGACTCTCCGCCTGATCTTCATCCGCGCAATCCCTTCGGTCATCAGCTCGATACAAGGAAGTACCCAGCGAAGCAGCGCGAACGGAAACGGCAGTAGAAGGAGTCGTGGCACAACTCAGAATCTAGACACGTTGAGAAGTGACAGAGGTGGGAAAGAAGGTATGGCCGTTGAACCCAACACGATTACATACACCAGGACCTTTGCAGTCCGGCACGAGGAAAACGACGAGGAGGTCGAACTTGTCCACATGGAGGATTTAAGTGAAAAGACGTCGAGAGAACGAGGTGGTAGCTATGCTAGTGAGCTGAGCTTATAGCTACATCTTAATGAGACGTCATAGTTTGGGTCCACCAGCCATCGCCGAGTCCACACTTGACGCTCAATCTAGGAAACATACTCAATTTGGAAAACCGGGTAAGATATGAATGGCGCATTCTATTTCAACTAACCCCACACACGTCCCAGAGATGTCCGCAGTACTCCGCATTATCAGCATATGAATCACATCAAATCCAACGCCAAATCCGCAGGCCAACTTTTGTCTCTCGTCCTTTGCCCATAGAGATGTTCAACAAATCGCTTTGATGCCATGGAACCATTCTTCTCGGCAAACCGTCGAGCCCGCTCATACTGACTTTCGGGAGGCCCTCCAAACTGCGCATCAAGGTTGGTGTTCCACTGCATCAAAAGCGACATTGTGTCGACACGACCCCACTCTGCTGCTGCTTCGAAAGCTGTCCGCCCATCGCCCTTGGCCGGCGGGTAGTTTGGGTCGGCCCCGTGCTCGAGCAGAAACGCTGCAATGCCGCAGAATCCGCTCATGGCAGCTAGTTGCAATGCGGTGCCGCCAGAGTATACTGGAACGGTATCGATGATGGCACCCTGGTCGACGAGGCACTCCACGATGTCGAAGCTACCCGTCTCGGCGGCTCTTTGCAAAGGTGTGCGGGTAACACCCATGTTGCGTGTGTACTGTAGCTCTGCCCCGTGCTCCACCAATATCTTGACCAGGGGGAGACATTGTACGTCGATAGCGGCTAGTAAGGGGGTGACTCGCTCCATGGGGCTCTTGATGTGTTCCAACATCTTCGAGCCATCGAAGGATACGTATGCATTTGGACTGGCGCCATGATTTAACAAGACCCGAACGATTTCGGTATCTCTCGCAATGATAGCTTCGCCGAGAGGGCTCACTGCAGGTTTCTTTTTCACAGATTCTTCGTTGAATGGCTCGAATTCATCAATGTCCACAACACTACACAGAATGTCGATCCGATTGATGTCGCGGTAACGAATTGCTTGGCGAAGTGCCGCGACACCATAGCTTCGTTTAACTGAAGACTTCCCCGCTTTTGCTGCGTCTAGAAGAAAATGCACAGTGGTGACAGTCGCCCTTGACTTGATCGCCTGTAACAATGCCCTGGAATCGTTAACAGAGACACCGTTAACCGCAAGGAACTTCATCCAATCTATGTTGTTCCCCTCAGCCGCGACGGCGAGAAGAGAGGGCAACGTATAGCCATCATCAAAATATTGCGTGTCTATGCCCTCAGGAAGAGAGCAATGCAACCCTGGGCCTTTTCTGATCTGAAGACCATCCAAAAAGTAAACATAGAGCTCGTCGGGATCCATGCCAACGTGTAGCAGCCACTGACATAATTCGTAGTCGTTCGTTGCCATGCAATAATGAGCAACAGTTCGGAAACAAAGCTGAAGGTCGTCCTGCCCCAATACCACATGTTCCCCCTCTACGAAATAGATGAACGGGACCCCTAAGCCGTGGAAAAACATCGTCTCTAAGGGCCCATAATCCTTGTGCACACTCGCAGCTTCCAATGCATGATTCCAAATCGGATTCCTTTTTAAGAGGGTACTGACTGCCATGGTCTGACCATGACTCAGTAGGATGGTGAGACCTTCTGTGCTCCAGTAGGAATCATCCTCGAAGATGGTGCTAGCCATTGCAAAGTCACAGTGATTGATCGCGAGTTCGACCATTTCGTGTGCAAAGTCCATTTTGACGTAGTTCGGACTCATTGGGGTATACAGATGGAAAGCAAGTCTTAGATCATTCTTTCCAATGGCATGTCGAAGCTGTGATATTTGCTCGTTCGTTGTATCATAAACCATTGTCATAGGCCTTTTTGCTATCATCAAAGCCGCTGCAAGAATCCAGTTGGTGTTGTTGAACGCGTCCAGAATTGATGTGTCCATGAAGCCAGGCGCGCCGAGATCGCCTACGTAAGCGTCTCCGTCGTTGAGTTGATAGCCCAGATAACTGATTGCTTCCAGAATCATCTCCACGACCCGTTTATTGGTATGACGGACAGCAGCGTGGAGTGCGCCCAACATTGCCGTCTTGAGTCTTGGGTCTGTCATCGGCAGATAGTGCTGTTTGTCGTACACAACAAATTGTATAACGTCCCTAGCCAAGGACATTTGGACTTCTTGTCCCTGCCCGTAACTATAATGCGTGGAATAGTGTTCAAGCAGGCCTGCTTCCAGCCATGCGATAACACCTGCCGTCGAAGCTTCCACCATCTGCTTAAGGGATGTCAGGGAGATATGCCCCGCACAGATCTGAAAGCATTTACGACAAGGCATAGCCCCAGCGCGAAGAGAAATGCACACCAATTGCGTGCTTTCTGTTTCGCTCAGTTTGGTGGAGTCTCTGGGGAAATAATAAGTTCTTAGCTTCTCTCCTTCGACTATATGGTCAATTATGTCCTCAAATTGTGATTGGATCGCTCCTCGACACATGTGAGAAGTGAGTGCTTTTGCAACCGCAAAACTGCCTGCAGCTACGGCAAACTGAAGTGGGTAGGTTGGTTTCGACTCAGATGGCCACTCCATCATGATCTGCTCGCGGGCGTCCATGTTCAGCTCCAGCATAGTTGACACCAGATCTATGTCCCCAACCCTGACAGCAGTCGCAAACACTCTTTCTCTGAGACTGTCTAGAATCATAGCAGGTAGAGCCTTCAAGCTTTGTGAAACGTCTCTTAAAGGGTGCGCCTTCAACAATGCGTAAGCATCGTCGGAATTGCTAGGGCCGACAGAAGATACGTTGTTGGCGAGTGACGCTATCGCGTACAGGGGAACTGTTGTACTGTGACTTCCATATGTGGTATCCACGAGCGGCTGATGTTTCGAATGGAAGATCGCATCGAGCCGCATCTTGGAAGGTTTCGTCCACTTCACCAACTGCTGGGAGGAACTGAGGCTCTGTGAGATAAAGTCGAAATTGATAGAATGCGTCCAGGAGAATGGCAAGCTATACTCGGCAATAAGGGTGGGTTTGATCAAGCTGAGGCCGTGTATGGAAGGTGAGGTAATCGTGACTAGGCCAAAGTCGGATTCTGCTTGCATAGAAGAAGATGAGTTTGCGGCAGGAGTCGGCAAGATTTGAAGGCCGTTCGCTGTGTCGATGGTTGGGGCGCGTGACCGTGGTCGTACAGTGATATCCTTGGGAAGCCTGTAGTGACCTGGATATGATGAGCTTCAAAGATTAAACTCGAACACGAATATGAGCATACCATCATGTGGCGTGTTGGTGAGCGAGCTGCGCCGTGCTATTTCCTGCAGAACTCTATTCTGGGGAATTTCGCGTCCCTTAAACAACACTTCGACTTGCTCAAGATCAATCGAGTTCCTTGTCAAATACCTGATGGTAGCTGCCCATTCGACCGTCGTAAGGTTCTTTCGTAGTTCCCATTTGCGGAAGTGCCTTTCGTATTGTGATTTGCTTCTTGGCATTAGTATTATTCTCTTCGTAATGCAGCGATAGCGGAAATACCTAGCGACAAAACCGTAATGCTTCTTCATGTGGACATCGATCTTATCGAGTGACGTTTCCCAGTAAAGGCTCTCGATTGTTGTGCGATAGCGATTCCATGTTGTTTCATCGAGTCTTTCAGTCTTAACAGTGTTGTTCATCTTGTGCAGCGAAGCCTGAGGCTGAGGCTGCGGAGAAGAGGGGAAGAAGTAGGGTAACAACCAGGCTGAAAGTTTTGGAGCATGCCTAGATATGTGACCGGTCAAGCTTGGGTTTCATACCGTGCCTGACGCATACTGCGCCTATCCGCCACGTCTGGTGCGCACCAACAACACGACTTCATTTCCCTCGTCGCAGTCAGCCGCGCACCCGCCGACCAATCATGCAGAACCTGGCTGCATAGAGGTGCAGCGAGATTTTGTAAACGAGGCAACGACCCATGGCGGAACTGACCAATTGTGCAAAACCTGCGCGCGGCACGGAACTCCAGCACAACACAAACCAAGATCTCGAGCTATGTGACGACCACAAGTGGCCCAATCTGGTTAGAGCAAGATTCTGTAAAGATGACCCACCCTGTTATGCCTGGCTGAATGGAGGCGGAGCGCATGTTGACCAATTATGCAAAACCTGCAAAAGTACCATTGCAGATTCTGTAGAGGCTTCAATAGCAGATTCTGCTTTCGAGCATACAATTAAAGACGGAATGGAAGTCGCGCTCTTCCTCGAAAGCGGATCCCTCTCAAACGTCGCATCGCTCTTCACACTCTGCATTGACCAATACCAACGGTTATCATAACAACTTTGCCATGACTTCCTGGTCGGTTGAAGCAATCATAGCTTTCGTAACCCTACTAGCTACCTGTATCCCTCTCCTGGCATACTTCCTGCGCAAGTTCAGGCCCCAACGTCAGATCGCCCGCTCGGATGTCGGTATGTTGGTTGATCCCCAGTATTGTCCTAGCCTCGCTTCTAACGTAGAACAGATGTTGAGCTTGGAAACGTGGACGAGAATCATGGTCGTGCTCTCGTCCTCACGGACTTTGGGATACGTAAAAGCCGAACACGGTAGGTGCTGGGGTGATACCGCATCATCTAGGCTCTGGGTGCTAACGGACGTTTGCATTAGTTCGATGACCTTGTAATGAAGTGGCGGTCAGCGACTTCGCAGCATGGCCTCCCGTGTAGGCTTGGGAGAGTGGTCGCATCCGATCTCTGTATCGTCCCGTAGCGTTCCAGTGTTTCATCAAGGGTGGGTATCGAGGAGAGCGGAGAGGTGTCAGATCTGTTGTACGATTAATGAGCTGGAGGAAGTAAAGACATAACAGAGATATGGCGGCACAAGAGCGTTGGTCGGGTGACGGTATAGCAACAATGGAGTCTTATATCGCTTCATCCAGCATCAAGCGCCAGGTGTCTTCGCCCCATAAACTTCATTGGACTCTTATTGCAAACTCCAAACGCCCAAGCTCAATTGCAGGATGTGCTCTGAAGCAACCCCATAAGCAACGCGGGAATGGCCTGACGAGGCATGGTATCCAATCCTCAAGCTTTATTCAACTCCAATTCCAGCGGTAATGTCGCCGTTCCTCAAAGGAAGTAGTCCGCTACTGGCTTCTTCGCCGGCATGCCTCGCGAGTCCTGGGGAGCAGCTTCAAACACCCGGTACCGCCGTCCTGGACCGTCCCTGTTCTTCTGATAAGTGTCGTTGAGTACGGAACTCAGTCGCCTCTCGCCGTTCGGTCCAGCGTTCGAGCCTAGGACCCATCCTCCACCACCACCTGCTCTGTCGCCGTTTGATCTTCTTTGGAAACCAGCGTTTGATCCATCCTCGCCAAGTTCCAAGATGGCAGCTACATTGCCGCAACGGTAGCAGTAGTTTGGCGCTGACCAGACAGTGACAATTGTTGAGTCGAACATCTCCTTAAAACCTTCCATGACCAATTGATGTGCTCTTGCGATGAGACTGAGGTCGTTCTTATGGTTGAACGTCTTGACAATATCGGCTCCAAATAGGAAGCCTGCACCACGCGGTGACAGGCCCCACCCGTCAATCTCGTCGGGGTCGGACCAGAGGAGATCACACATAGCTCCTTCGTGTGGCACTTCTTGCTTTCGGTCCAAAAGCCGGATCTTGTCCACAGAGTCGACGAGTGGTGACAGCCCTCCGTGTACGCATAAGATGGCGCCGGTATCGTTTCGAGCAGAGCCGTTGGCAGAAGAAGTTGCGCCTGTTCCTGCAGGGCCAACTCGTCCGGGTGTTGGGGCGACGGGGGACGAGGAGCCCATGTTTGCGCTTACTTGCGAGGCGGCGCTTGACTGGGAGTCTGAGTTGCGTGCGTAGCGGTACATAACCTCGCCATTCGCGTTGAGCGTCTCAATCTCGATATCTTGGTCGATGTCGGGCATGTTCTCTGCGTTGCTAGACTCGGCTATGGGGCCATCGGTGGCTTGGAGCGATGTTGCGGCGCCTTGTACGAGAGCACCGAGGGCTAGATAATCAAAGACTTCGCAACAATACCTGACAGTGTTAGCATTGACTCTATCCAGACCATGCGATTGCGATCTACCTCCAGACGTTTGCGCTGCCGTATTTCCGTAAGCACTCATCGTAGAACCCGTATACAGTCGTGATCTGGCGAGACTCATGGTTGCCTCTGATGAGCGTTATTCGGTCTGGGTAACGAACTTTGAGGCAAAGAAGCAGGAGGAAAGATTCGAGCGAGTAAAAACCGCGGTCAACGAAGTCGCCTGCATATAGTCAGTGCGGAGCAGCATAGCGAGAATCGGTTGGCTTACCCATAAAGAGGTAGTTTGTGTCCGGTACGTCTCCACCGACCCGGAAAAGCTCCATCAGGTCGTGAAATTGGCCATGAATATCACCACATATCTAGCAATGTCATGCGATTAGCTATGCCCAGATGACGACTCGGTATAGTGCCTACCGTTACTGGCGCATCCACCCCAACCACGTTGCCCTCCTCGATCAACAGCTCGCGTGCCTTGTAACATAGCTCTCGGACTTGGTTCTCGGGTATCGGACGACATGCGCGAAGCTGCTGGATAGCTCTGCGATCGGTGTCAGCCTCCTATATCGTACGTATGCTAGTCGGCTGAGTGGCTATCCATACTTGTCGAGGTCGCTACCACCGGCGCTCATGGCGACGGCTATGCGCTATACGCCCGCGCAGGGCTTTCGGGACGTATAAAGTCTTCGGTTGGCAATTGCGTGCGCAATGTGTCTGCAGCTATGCGAGCTGTT